GTGAGCGCTGTGAGCGCACCGGTCATCCCTATATAGGATCCGAACCCGCGGCAGGAGCACTCGTGCGCTCCTAGCACTGCACTCTCCTGAGTGCGCCACGGGCTCGGCCCATTCAGTGGGGATTTTAGAATTATCACTCCAATGTCCTCATTTCTAGTATTTTTCTGGCAGTGGATACATATTTAAGGAAAATTGGATAGAAAGAGATAGGGGTTTTATTTTTAAAGGCTGCCTTCTCTGTATCCAGGTGTACCCAGCACACCTGCATTATCAGCGAAACTGAAAACAGGGAACTCCCAGACCTCCATGCCTTTGGGTGGAGGTGCTGTGGAGCTCTAGGTGATACTAGAGGAGGGATGCCCTTAGAGCCTAAATAGTTCTGTTATGTATATGTCAAAGGGCTCAGTTTAGCTTGGGTATGTGCTGCAAACAGTTAGCCCATGGGGGAGACACTGGAGGTGGGGGGAGATGGTGGGAAGGATGTCAAGGGGCCCATCTCACTTGAGGACGTGCAAGCCTGACAGCTGAAGAGTCCCAGAGCAGCAAATATCACCTTGCCTCTTCTCTTGAACTATTCTGGCTGTCTGCTTTTGATTGACGGAGGCATCTGGCTACTAAAAATACCCTACTGACCAAGTGTTCCTCATTCCAACTAAAGCTGAATGCAACAGCAGTCCAGAACGTAGCACATACTGATAGCTTCTTCTTGCAGAGGAACTTTTCAAAACTTTTCAGGCCTGGTCCCAGAAACACACTGGTCCATGGTCATTTTCTGCAGTGTCAGCTTTGATGGGTGATGAATGAGATCCTTCCCAGGTGACTGTGCTCTTGCCTGCCCCAGTCTCCCCTTCCAGGAGAAGCGGCACAGGGGGAGGTGAGGGCCCAGTCCCTGAGAGGCGCGTTGGAATTGGGAGGTGTCTTGTCCATTTATAGTCTTGCTCTTTGAGATGCTGAAGGTGCTGAAATAGCAGCAATGACAAGAGGCTTGGCTCAGTTTGAAATATCTGCCTTGCTGGCCAGACACAGTCTGAAATGACAGTCGGGAGAATGGAGAACGTGGAGGTCTTCTCTTCTGAGGGCAAAGGCAGGGGTCTGAAGTCCACTAAGGAGTTCTGGGCTGCGGACGTCATCTTTGCTGAGCGGGCTTATTCCGCAGTGGTTTTCGACAGGTATGAAATGTGGGGAGTGGCCTTTTTCTCTCCTGTTGGTTTGGCTGGTGCCAAACTCCAAAATCCTTTGCTGTCAAAAATCATCAGGAGATGGGATAAAATTCATTCATTTTTTTTTTAAACATAGTGGCACTCTGACAGCTGATTACTTTCTGGCATAACTTTTTCTGCAAGGAGTCATTGCCAGTGTGATTTGCTGTGGTCCCTAGAAGGGTTGCAAAGGTGAGCACTGGCTTTGAGGCACTTTCTCCCAACACCAGTGAACTTGGCTGAGAGGGTGTGCTGGAGGTGGAAAGGTGGGTGTGGCACTGTGGGAAACATTTTCTTTAAAAAACTCTATGTTTTTAGCTTCTTTTGATATAAGAAATATTTTAGAGAATAAAGTAATTGCTGAGACTTTGAAAAATTAACTGTAAATACAAAAGTAAAAAAGGAATCCATTTACCTTTGAAAAAATTAGAATATTACCCAATCTCAGTTCTCTCTGACTTTCCTTAGATTATGATTTTAATGTATTTTCTTCTAGAATGTTCTTGTACTATTACAGACATTTATCTGCATTTATTAAAATGGGTAGCTGTAGTCTGTCTATTTTTTCTTTTTTTTGAAGAAATGGTATCATACTTCAGATATCATTTTAGAATTTGCTCTTTTCCCCAAACAACATGTTCTTGAACATGAGTCTGTCAATACATCTTTGAAATCCTCAAAAATCT